TAACCTAATGGTCAACCACTCATCCCTGAAGCACTCTAATCCGGATGATTGCACTCTGACCTTCACATATAGAAATGAGGAAATGCCGACTACTACAAGGCTAATTTAACTGGAAACCATTTCTTCTTGGAGGGTGGGCGATGGCAGGTTATATCTGCGACTGATAGGGAGTTATGATCCTTATCAGAGATACTGATTATAACTCCCCATCTTGACATTGTACGTTGAACTTACATTCAAATTAGTGAGGATATAATCTATTGCTCATTGATAAAGACTGCATCTTGGGAATGAAGTACGGCCATGAAGATTCACAGCGTGAATCTAGAATGCAAAACAGATGACAGATTCTGTATCTTCTAGACAGCTGTAGTTGTCGAGAAGTTCCTCACTCCTCACCCCTGTTCCTCACTCCTCACCCCTGTCCCTCACTCCTCACCCCTGTCCCTCACTCCTCACCCCTGTCTCTCACTCCTCACTCCTGTCCCTCACTCCTCACCCCTGTCTCTCACTCCTCACCCCTGTCCCTCACTCCTCACCCCTGTCTCTCACTCCTCACTCCTGTCCCTCACTCCTCACCCCTGTCCCTCACTCCTCACCCCTGTCCCTCACTCCTCACCCCTGTCTCTCACTCCTCACTCCTGTCCCTCACTCCTCACCCCTGTCCCTCACTCCTCACCCCTGTCCCTCACTCCTCACTCCTGTGCCTCACTCCTCACCCCTGTCCCTCACTCCTCACTCCTGTGCCTCACTCCTCACCCCTGTCCCTCACTCCTCACCCCTGTCTCTCACTCCTCACCCCTGTCTCTCACTCCTCACCCCTGTCCCTCACTCCTCACCCCTGTCACTCACTCCTCACTCCTGTCCCTCACTCCTCACCCCTGTCCCTCACTCCTCACCCCTGTCCCTCACTCCTCACCCCTGTCTCTCACTCCTCACTCCTGTCCCTCACTCCTCACCCTTGTCCCTCACTCCTCACTCCTGTGCCTCACGCTTCCCACCACCTGGTACCATTAAAACTTCGCGAAGACCCGCGAATGCCGCTAATTTCAGTAATTAGCGGTCTCTCCTCACGACTCTGGCCCCTTACACTTAACTTCTTGGGTAGTTTATCCTCATCGCGTGCCTTATCTCTCTCAGATACTTTTTTTCCAGTATTCATACAGAGATTATACGTCTGTTGTATACTTTTGAAGGTATTCAAGCGATACTTTTGTGCGTTTATACATTACAAACATTTATATGAAGAGATAAGAACATGCATAGAATTCGGACACACATACGGACATGCACAGAATGGGGATATACATAGCTTGAGGAGATACATACCGGCGTACATAACCTATGGACATAAATATCCTATGACACACACATACACATATACGGACATGCGAAGAAAGCAGACATACGTAGCTCACAGATATACATAGTCAGAGCATCAAACTGCATCTGCCAGTCTTTCCTTAGTTTATAAAACCATATCTCTATCATGTTTCATGAGGAGCCTATAGCGCTATGTTGTCCCTGAAGTATGTGAGTATGTGTGTGTGTGTGTGTGTGTGTGTGTGTGTGTGTACTCACCTAGTTGTACTCACCTAGTTGTGTTTGCGGGGGTTGAGCTCTGACTCTTTGGTCCCGCCTCTCAACCGTCAATCAACAGGTGTACAGATTCCTGAGCCTATCGGGCTCTGTCATATCTACACTTGAAACTGTGTATGGAGTCAGCCTCCACCACATCACTTCCTAATGCATTCCATTTGTCAACCACTCTGACACTAAAAAAGTTCTTTCTAATATCTCTGTGGCTCATTTGGGCACTCAGTTTCCACCTGTGTCCCCTTGTGTTAAATAGACTGTCTTTATCTACCCTATCAATCCCCTTCAGAATCTTGAATGTGGTGATCATGTCCCCCCCTAACTCTTCTGTCTTCCAGCGAAGTGAGGTTTAATTCCCGTAGTCTCTCCTCGTAGCTCATACCTCTCAGCTCGGGTACTAGTCTGGTGGCAAACCTTTGAACCTTTTCCAGTTTAGTCTTATCCTTGACTAGATATGGACTCCATGCTGGGGCTGCATACTCCAGGATTGGCCTGACATATGTGGTATACAAAGTTCTGAATGATTCTTTACACAAGTTTCTGAATGCCGTTCGTATGTTGGCCAGCCTGGCATATGCTGCCGATGTTATCCTCTTGATATGTGCTGCAGGAGACAGGTCTGGCGTGATATCAACCCCCAAGTCTTTTTCCTTCTCTGACTCCTGAAGAATTTCCTCTCCCAGATGATACCTTGTATCTGGCCTCCTGCTCCCTACACCTATCTTCAATACATTACATTTGGTTGGGTTAAACTCTAACAACCATTTGTTCGACCATTCCTTCAGCTTGTCTAGGTCTTCTTGAAGCCTCAAACAGTCCTCTTCTGTTTTAATCCTTCTCATAATTTTAGCATCGTCCGCAAACATTGAGAGAAATGAATCGATACCCTCCGGGAGATCATTTACATATATCAGAAACAAGATAGGACCGAGTACAGAGCCCTGTGGGACTCCACTGGTGACTTCACGCCAATCGGAGGTCTCACCCCTCACCGTAACTCTCTGCTTCCTATTGCTTAGATACTCCCTTATCCACTGGAGCACCTTACCAGCTACACCTGCCTGTCTCTCCAGCTTATGTACCAGCCTCTTATGCGGTACTGTGTCAAAGGCTTTCCGACAATCCAAGAAAATGCAGTCCGCCCAGCCCTCTCTTTCTTGCTTAATCTGTGTCACCTGATCGTAGAATTCTATCAAGCCTGTAAGGCAAGATTTACCCTCCCTGAATCCATGTTGGCGATTTGTCACAAAGTCCCTTCTCTCCAGATGTGTTACCAGGTTTTTTCTCACGATCTTCTCCATCACCTTGCATGGTATACAAGTCAAGGACACTGGCCTGTAGTTCAGTGCCTCTTGTCTGTCGCCCTTTTTGTATATTGGGACCACATTCGCCGTCTTCCATATTTCTGGTAGGTCTCCCGTCTCTAGTGACTTACTATACACTATGGAGAGTGGCAAGCAAAGTGCCTCTGCACACTCTTTCAGTACCCATGGTGAGATCCCATCTGGACCAACAGCCTTTCTAACATCCAGATCCAGCAGGTGTCTCTTGACCTCCTCTCTCGTAATTTCGAACTCCTCCAAGGCCGCCTGGTTTACCTCCCTTTCTCCTAGATGTGTGTGTGTGTGTGTGTGTGTGTGTGTGTGTGTGTGTGTGTGTGTGTGTGTGTGTGTGTGTGTGCGTGTGTACTCACCTAGTTGTGCTTGCAGGGGTTGAGCTCTGGTTCTTTGGTCCCGCCTCTCAACTGTCAGTCAACTGGTGTACAGGTTCCTGAGTCTACTGGGCTCTGTCATATCTACATTTAGAGCTGTGTATGGAGTCAGCCTCCACCACATCACTGCCAGATCTCTTAAGTAGCGAGGTAATACCTGAGGTATTGTGAGTGGAAGAGGGACTTAGGGGTAGTGTGTAGTGGGAAGGTGTAGGGAGAAGTGTAGGGGGTAGAGGGAATTAAGGAGATAAGTGAAAAATTATGTTGGGAAGAATTTTAAGAGTCGATATTTAATATTAATTAAACCTTTAGCTAAGTAGCTAAATTCAGCTTAACAAATAAGTAGCTTAACGTTAATTAAGTTAACTTCATATGTGTTATTGGGATTTGACTCTAATTATCGCCGTGTAGGCACTGTAAGGGTGCAATAACTATTGCAAATAACTTACTGCATGGTAACCCAACCACTTTGACTGGACGGTAGAGCGACGGTCTAGCTTCATGCAGGTCGGTGTTCAATCCCCGACCGTCCAAGTGGTTGGGCACCATTCCTTCCTTCCCCCGTCCCATCCCACTTTCCCCGCCCCGTCCCATTACAAATCCTTATCCTGACCCCTTCCAAGTGCTATAAAGTCGTAATGGCTTGGCGCTTTACCCTGATAAAAAAAATTCTGCATGGTAAAGCGTAAATCACTTACAGCTGTAAGGTGGTTTACTCAAATTAGACTTTCCTTAGTTTGATGTAAAACATGTGTAAAAAGCAATTTACTATTGCATGATTTACCCACTCACATTGCGACGTATGTTGCAAACATTGTCACAAACTACAGAATTACTCACTTAATGTGCAGTTTGTGTGATCATATTCCCTAGACGTTGTAAGGTTTGTTCATATAGTCATCGCGTGCATGGTAAGATTCGCTTGCATAACATTTTATACATCGCCGGTGTTGACTATGCAATAAATCGCCAAACTAATTATAATACAATACTGTAGTTGTGCCCTGTAGGCAGCTCTAATGTGTTGCAGAGTGTGTCTGAGGATCAATTATAATGTGTTGCAGGGCCTGCCCACACGACCATTTATACCGTGTTGCAGGGCCTGCCCACACGACCATTTATACCGTGTTGCAGGGCCTGCCCTCACGACCATTTATACTGTGTTGCAGGGCCTGCCCTCACGACCATTTATACTGTGTTGCAGGGCCTGCCCACACGACCATTTATACCGTGTTGCAGGGCCTGCCCACACGACCATTTATACCGTGTTGCAGGGCCTGCCCTCACGACCATTTATACCGTGTTGCAGGGCCTGCCCACACGACCATTTATACCGTGTTGCAGGGCCTGCCCACACGACCATTTATACCGTGTTGCAGGGCCTGCCCACACGACCATTTATACCGTGTTGCAGGGCCTGCCCACACGACCATTTATACCGTGTTGCAGGGCCTGCCCACACGACCATTTATACCGTGTTGCAGGGCCTGCCCTCACGACCATTTATACCGTGTTGCAGGGCCTGCCCACACGACCATTTATACCGTGTTGCAGGGCCTGCCCTCACGACCATTTATACTGTGTTGCAGGGCCTGCCCACACGACAAAACACCCGCCAATAGTTACAAAGTCAACCCCCTCCCTCCCTTACCCTCCCATTAATGTTTACCTCTCTCTCCCTGCCGCAGGGTACGGGCACTCGACGCCAAACACGGTGTCTGGGAAGGTCTTCACCATCCTGTACGCCATGGTGGGCATCCCGCTCTGTCTAGTGCTCTTCCACTCCATCGGCGAGCGCCTCAACATGGTCTCCTCCATCGCCATCAGGCACATCAAGAAGATCCTCAAGGTGAGCGCTCCTCACGCAGATTCACGAAGCAGTTACGCAAGCACTTATGAACCTGGACATCGTTTCTCAATCTTTGGCGGCTTTGTTTACAGTTATTAAACAGTTAATGAGCTCCGAAGCACCAGGAGGCTGTTTATAATAATAATAGCAGTTGATTGGGAAGGTTTCATGCTTGTAAACTGTTTAATAAATTTAACCAAAGCCGTCAAAGATTGAGGAAAGATGTGCACGTTCGTAAGTACTTGCGTAACTGCTTCGTGAATTTAAGTTATTGCCTTTTGCTTCTGATATGAAGAATCATTTTCCTTATTCTTATCACGTGAAGCTCCCTCTAATCCGTTTTGCTTCTCTTACAACTTCTGTGTATGCTTTGACTTGTGCTCCTGTTCTCTCTCTCTCTTTCTCTGTCTGTCTGTCTGTCTGTCTGTCTGTCTGTCTGTCTGTCTGTCTCTCTCTCTCTCTCTCTCTCTCTCTCTCTCATCTCTCTCTCCTCTCTCTCTCTCTCTCTCTCTCTCTCCAACTCTCTCTCTCTCTCTCTCTCTCTCTCTCTCTCTCTCTCTCTCTCTCTCTCTCTCTCTCTCTCTCTCTCTCTCTCTCTCTCTCTCTCTCTCTCTCTCTCTCTCTCTCTGTCTCTCTCTCTCTCTGTCTCTCACCCCCTCTCCATAATTTACGCTTCTTGCCCTTCCCTTTCCTCAATCACTGCACCGACACTCTCCTCTCTTTGATAATTCACCTTTTCCTTCTGGGTTCCCTTAACCAACCTTCTCCTCTCCTGTCTGTCACCCTTCACCTTCCCACCTCTCCTATTTCCTTCTTCCTCACTGCCCCTCTCTCTTTCCCATACTCCTCTTCCTCCATTCCACACTACGCCTTTACCCCTTCCACGCATCCTTCCCTTCCCTCCACACTCTTCCTCTCCCCTTCTGTATTTCTCTTATCCCTTGCCACTCTTTCCCCTATCCCACATTTCTCCTATTCCTTCCCACATTTACCCTCTTTCTACCACACTCCCCCCCCTCCGTCCACACCCCCTCCCTGCCCCACACTCCCCCTCCCTGCCGTCCACACTCCCCTCTCAGCGTCCACACTCCCCCTCCCTCCGTCCACACTCCCCCTCCCTATCCGTCCACACTCCCCCTTACACTCCACACTTCCCCCTCCCTCCCGTCCACACTCCCCCTTCCACACTCCACCTCCCCCCCCCCCACACTCCCCTCCCAGCCCTCCACACACCCCCCTCCCACGTCCACACTCCCCCTCCCCCCGCCCACACTCCCCCCCCCCTCGTCCACACTCCCCCCCCTCCCCCCACACTCCCCCCCCCCCCACACCCCCCACACTCTCCACACTCCCCCCGCGTCCACACTCCCCCTCCCAGCCGTCCACACTCCCCTCCCAGCGTCCACACTCCCCCTCCCACACTCCCCGTCCCACACTCTCCCCCTTCCACACTCTCCACACTCCCCTCCCCCGCCCACACTCCCCCTCCCAGCACTCCCCCACTCACCCTCCCTAGCCCTCCCCCACACTCCCCCCCCTCGTCCACACTCCCCCTCCCTCCCCCGTCCACACTCCCCCTCCCACTCCCCCCTCCCACGTCCACCTCCCCCTCCCCACACTCCCCCTCCCCGTCCACACTCCCCCTCCCTGCCGTCCACACTCCCCCCCCCCAGCGTCCCACACTCCCCCTCCCTGCCGTCCACTCCCCCCTCCCAGCGTCCACACTCCCCCTCCCAGCCTCCACACTCCCCCTCCCCCCGTCCACACTCCCCCTCCCACCGTCCACACTCCCCCCTCCCCCGTCCACACTCCCCTCCCCCCCGTCCCACACTCCCCCTCCCTCCTCCCACACTCCCCCCTCCCAGCGTCCCCACTCCACCTCCCCCCGTCCACACTCCCCCTCCACATCCCCTCCACACTCCCCCCCCCTCCCACTCCTCCACACTCCCCCACACTCCCCCTCCCACACTCCCCCTCCCCCCTCCCCGTCCACACTCCCCCCTCCCTCCCGTCCACACTCCCCCTCCCCCCCGTCCACACTCCCCCTCCCAGCGTCCACACTCCCCCTCCCTCCCCTCCACACTCCCCCTCCCAGCGTCCACACTCCCCCTCCCTCCCCCACACTCCCCCTCCCCCACACTCCCCCCCTCCCCACTCCACTCTCCCCCTCCCTCCCCCACACTCCCCCTCCCCTCGTCCACACTCCCCCCTCCCAGCGTCCACACTCCCCTCCCCCTCCACACTCCCCCTCCCTCCCACACTCCCCTCCCAGCGTCCACACTCCCCCCCCGCCGTCCACACTCCCCCTCCCTGCTCGTCCACACTCCCCCTCCCTCCCCTCCACACTCCCCCTCCCTCCCTCCCACACTCCCCCTCCCTCCCGTCCACACTCCCCTCCCTGCCGTCCACACTCCCCCCCTCCCACACTCCCCCCCCGCTCCCACACTCCCTCCCAGTCCCCCACACTCCCCCTCCCTGCGTCCACACTCCCCCTCCCTGCCGTCCACACTCCCCCCTCCCTGCCGTCCCACACTCCCCCCTCCCTGCCGTCCACACCCCCCTCCCACACTCCCCTCCCTCCCACACTCCCCTCCCTGCGTCCCCACTCCCCCTCCCCCCCGTCCACACTCCCCCTCCCCCCGTCCACACTCCCCCTCCCCCCCCGTCCACACTCCCCCCCTGCCGTCCACACTCCCCCCCTCCCACACTCCCCCCCCCTCCCACACTCCCCCTCCCAGCGTCCACACTCCCCCTCCCCCCGTCCACACTCCCCCTCCCTGCCGTCCACACTCCCCCTCCCCTCTCCCCACTCCCCACTCCCTGCCGTCCACACTCCCCCCTCCCACACTCCCCCCTCCCCCACCCCCCTCCCACACTCCCCCTCCCTGCCGTCCACACTCCCCCTCCCTGCGTCCACACTCCCCCTCCCCCCCGTCCACACTCCCCCTCCCACACTCCACCCTCCCACACCCCCCCTCCTACACTCCCCCTCCCCCCTCCACACTCCCCTCCCTCCCCACACTCCCACACTCCCCCCTCCACACTCCCCCTCCCCCCACACTCCCCCCTCCCACACTCCCACACTCCCCACTCCCTGCCGTCCCACCCCTCCCCCTCCCCCCGTCCACACTCCCCCCCCCCCCCCTCCCACACTCCCCCTCCCAGCGCCCACACTCCCCTGCCTCCCCACACTCCCCCCTCCCACACACCCCCCCCCACACTCCCCCCTCCCACACTCCCACTCCCCCTCCCCCCCTCCCACACTCCCCCCCCCCCTCCCACTCCCCCCCCAGCCCCCCCTCCCACACTCCCCCCTCCCACACTCCCCCCCTCCCACACTCCCCCCCCCCTGCCCCCACTCCCCCCCCCCCCCTCCACACACTCCCCCCTCCCGTCCACACTCCCCCTCCCAGCGTCCACACTCCCCCTCCCCCCCGTCCACACTCCCCCTCCCAGCCGTCCACCCTCCCCCCTCCCCCGTCCACACTCCCCCCCTCCCACACTCCCCCCTCCCAGCCGTCCCCCCTCCCACCCTCCCCCGTCCACACACACCCCCCCCGTCCACACTCCCCCTCCCAGCGTCCACACTCCCCCTCCCACCGTCCACACCCCCCTCCCTGCCTCCCACACTCCCCCCCCTCCCTGCCTCCCACACTCCCCCCCCTCCGTCCACACTCCCCTCCCTCCCACACTCCCCTCCCTGCCGTCCACACTCCCCCTCCCACACGTCCACCCTCCCCCTCCCTGCCGTCCACACTCCCCCCTTCCATACTCCCCCTCCCACACTCCCCCTCCCTGCCTCCCACACTCCCCCTCCCCCCTCCCACACTCCCCCCCCCACACGTCCACACCCTCCCCCTCCCTCCGTCCACACTCCCCCTCCCTCCCACACTCCCCCTCCCTGCCGTCCACTCTCCCCCTCCCCGTCCACACTCCCCCTCCCCAGCGTCCACACTCCCCCTCCCTGCCGTCCACACTCCCCCCCTCCCAGCGTCCACCCCTCCCCACTCCCCACACTCCCCCTCCCAGCGTCCACACTCCCCCTCCCTCCCACACTCCCCCCCCAGCCGTCCACCCTCCCACACTCCCCCGTCCACACTCCCCCTCCCACACTCCACCCTCCCACCTCCCTGCCCTCCACACTCCCCCTCCCTCGTCCACACTCCCCCTCCCACACTCCCCCCACCCCCCCTCCCTGCCTCCCACACTCCCCCCCCTGCCCTCCACACTCCCCCTCCCACGTCCCCCCCCCCTCCCCCCTCCCACACTCCCCCCTCCCACACCTCCCCCCTCCCACACTCCCCCCTCCCACCCTCCCCCCTCCCACACTCCCCCCTCCCACACTCCCCCTCCCACACCCCCCCCACCCCACTCCCCCCGTCCCACACCCCCCCCTCCCACACTCCCCCTCCCAGCCGTCCCCCTCCCACCCTCCCCTCCCACACTCCCCCTCCCACACTCCCCCCTCCCCACTCCCCCTCCCACACTCCCCCCCTCCCACACTCCCCCTCCCACACTCCCCCCTCCGACACCCCCCTCCCACACTCCCCCCCCTCCCACACTCCCCCTCCCACACTCCCCCCTCCCACACTCCCCCTCCCACACTCCCCCCCTCCCACACCCCCCCTCCCACACTCCCCCCTCCCACACTCCCCCTCCCACACTCCCCCACACCCCCCCACACCCCCCTCCCACACTCCCCCTCCCACACTCCCCCTCCCACACTCCCCCTCCCACACTCCCCCTCCCACACTCCCCCTCCCACACTCCCACTCCCACACCCTCCCTCCCCACTCCCCCCCTCCCACCCCCCCTCCCCCTCCCCCTCCACACTCCCCCTCCCCTCCCCCCTCCCACCTCCCCCTCCCACACTCCCCCTCCCACACTCCCCCTCCCACCCTCCCCCTCCCACACTCCCCCTCCCACACCCCCCTCCCACACTCCCCCTCCCACACTCCCCCTCCCACCACTCCCCCTCCCACTCCCCCTCCCCCCCCCCC